CTTCCCCCACATACCGTCCCTCCCACCCACAACCCTCCCCTTTCCCACTCCCTCTCCCCTTCCATTCACATCAAGATTCATTTTCGATTATCTTAATATACAGAAGATCAGCTTAGTATACATTAAGTAAGGATTTCAACAGTTTGCTCTCACACAGAAACATAAAGTGAAAAATAATAGATGATTTTTTTTAAGTGATGATGAAATCAGATCAGACCTATTGTCATGTTTAATCACATCGCAGTGAGAGTCAAGTTGGGAGTTGATAATTTTTTTTTTTTTTACAGAGGATCAGTTTAGTATACATTAAGTAAAGATTTCAACAGTTTGCACCCCCACGAAAACACAAAGTGAAATATATTGTTTGAGTACTGGTTATAGCATTAAATCTCAATACACAGCACATTAAGGACAGAGATCCTACATGAGGAGTAAGTGCACAGTGTTGTTGACTTTACCAATTGACACTCCTGTCTATGGCATCAGTAGTCTCCCTATGCTCCGGTAATTTCTTTTCTTTTTTTTTTTTTAAGGTTTTTATTTATTTATTTGACAGGTAGAGTTACAGACAGTGAGAGAGACAGAGATAAAGGTCTTCCTTCTGTTGGTTCACTCCTCAAATGGCCACAATGGCCAGAGCTGCACTGATCCAAAGCCAGGAGCCAGGTACTTCTTCCTGGTCACCCATGTGGGTGCAGGGAGCCATCTTGGGCCATCTTCTACTGCTTTCTCAGGCCACAGCAGAGAGGTGGATTGGAAGAGGGGCAGCTGGGACTAGAACTGGCACCCATATGGGATGCCAGCATAGCAGGTGGAGGATTAACATACTGCTCCACAGTTCTGGACCGATGTTTAATTTCTGGCTATGGTTTTTTCACATCTACTGCACTTGAAGGATACCACCTTTTTTGAGTTGCATATTTATGCAAGCCTGAATTCCATGAAAATATACTTCCACATTCATTACACTCCTAAGAAACCCCTTGTGTGAATTCTCTGATGTATAATGATCGATTTCTGTCAAGTGGCTTTTTGTCACACTAATAATATTTTTGAACTTCTTCATTTTTTTAATGATTTACTTTATTTATTTGAAAGACAGAGTTACAGAGAGACAGAGAAGCAGAAATAGGTCTTCCATCCACTGGTTCACTCCCCAGATGGATGCAATTGCTGGAGATGCAGTGATCCAAAGCCAAGAGTCTGAAGCTTCTTCTGGGTCTCCCATGTGGGTGCAGGGCCATCTTCTACTGCTTTCCCAGGCCAGAGCAGAGAGCTGAATCAGAAGAAGAGCAGCCAGGACTAGAACCGGTGCCCACAAGGTATGCCAGCATTTCAGGCCAGGGCTTCAACTTACTGTGCCACAGCACTGGTCCCAACCTTTCTCCCTTATGGGAGTGCCTATTGTATGGGATGAAATTTCCAGCAAAAGGCTCTGTCACATGGTTATGTTGATTTTGGAAAAAGTCCTTCACATTCATTATATTCTTAAGTTCTCTCCCTTGTTTGAACTACATGTGTTATGAGGTATTCCTTTTGACAAAAGGCTTTCTCATATTTATTACAAGATTCCCACCATGTAATAAATTCTCTGATGTTATATTGTGTTATTTTGGTGGAGTTTTCCAACACTCAATCCATTCACAAGGTTTCTCCTCCATGTGAATTCTGATGTTTTATGAGGTGTTACTTATGGATAAAGGCTTTTCCATATGTATTATATCCAAAGTGTTTTCCCCCATATGAATTAGATGATGTACAATGGGGGCTGAACTATGGGAAAAAGCTTTCCAAGTCATTATGTCCAAAAGGTTTCTCTTCATGTGAATTTTCTGATGCATTCTGAGATGTGACTTATTGCCAAGGGCTTTTCTACAGTCATTGCATTCATGAAGTTTCTCCCCGGTGTGAATTCTCTGGTGGGATATGAGGTATGATTTATAACATACAGTTTATAAAGGCTTTTCCACACTCATTAGATTCATAAGGTTTCTGCCCTGTGTGAAATCTGTTTGATATGAGGTATAATTTATAGAAAAAGGCTTTTCCACAGTCATTACATTTATAAGGCTATTTCTATAGCTTTTCTATTTGATTTGCTTTCCCAAAAATGACAGTTGATTTATTACAGTTTTCTGCCACATGAACCCTCTCAGATTTACAGAACACCTTTCTTGTGAAGACTTTTGCTTGTCCAGTGGGTCCAAATGGCTGCTTCATGATGTGAATATTGTCATGCTGACTAAGAGGTTCACAGAACTGGAGAGATTTTCCAGGTATCTTGGTGTTATCAAATTTCTCTCCAGCCTGTAGTTTATCAGGCCCACTGGGGGGATACACAGTGTGATATTTACTGCATTCCTCAGGCTTCAATCCTGTATTTGTTCCCTTTTTAATAATCAGTGTTGGAATATGGCTTGAATTTAAACTAAGTGGTTTTCTTAATTCAACTCTCTTGAGAGCTGATGTTGTGTTATTTTTCATAAAATCCCGATTCAGATTTTTGTCCTGACTTTCCTGGTTGATCCTAATCAGGTCATCCCTTTTCATGACCACTGAAATGAGAAAAAAGCAATCATGTAACTGAATCACATGTAACTGTTTCTCCTGGCATACTCATGTAAAGAGAATGAAGTTACTTGTTATCCAAGTGGCATAAGATTTTCACAAAATCAGTATGAGGTACTTATTTATGACCATTATATGGTTTTTCTCCTTAATACATTAATATATTAAATTGTACCATGAGGTTTCCCAATGTTCAAACATGATTCTTTTTACTATGGGAATTTTTCAAGGATGGTAGAATGACTTTTGTGCTATGACGTGTGGGATGCCTGCATCTCAAAACAGTGTCAGTTTGAGCCCTGGCTACTCTGCTTTCAGTACAGCCCTCTGCCTATGTAAACTGGGAGGAAGCAGATAATGGTTCATGTGTCTGGGAACCCATGAGACACCAGGGAAGACTAGATGAATTCTAGAGTTTTGGCTTCAGACTAGTTAGACTTAAGTGTTGCAGGCATCTAGGAAGTGAGCTTTTAGAGGACCTCTTTCTCTCTCTTTCTCCTCTCACTATCACTCTGCCTTTCACAAAGATGAAATACCTATAAAATATTTTAAAGAATGGACAAATGTTTAATAAAAATATTCACCCACTACCTAGCAACCATTTTTCCCTGTCCTTTTTCTCCAGTTTATTTTTACAAAAATTGTGTGTTTTGTGCTTCTCTGATATCTCAACCATAAACATGAAAAAGTTTTACTGATCATTTACTTGCAGGTGGAGAAGAGTGAAATGTGCCTGTACTTTAAGCAGGACAACTTTTAAGGAGAATGATTTGAATCTATGAGATAGAGACAGAGAGAAGTCTTCAGTCTGCTGGTTCACTCACCATATGGGCACAACAACCAATGCTGGGCCAAGATGAAGTTAGGAGTCACGAGTTTCTTTCTTGTCTCCCACATGGGTACAAGGGTCCAAGGACTTGGGCCAACCTCTGCTCCTTACTCAGGTGCATTAGCAGAGAGCTGGATTAGAAGGGGATCAGCTGGGACTTGAACTGGCACCCAAATGCAATGCTGGTGCTGCAGGCTGGAGCTTTAACACACTGCACCACAGTATCATTCCCAGTTTCATAATTTCTGATGTCACAGCACAGAGGCTTACTCATGACCATCTGTTTTTTTAAGGGTTATTTATTTATTTGAAAGTCAGAGTTACACAGAGAGAGAAGAGGCAAAGATTGAGTAAGGTCTTCCATCCAATGGTTCACTCCCCAATTGGCCACAATGGCCATAACTGTGCTGATCTGTAGCCAGGAGCCAGGAGCTTCTTTTGGGTCTCCCTCAGGATCAGGGGTCCAAGGACTTAGACCATCTTCTACTGCTTTCCCAGGTCATAGCAGAGAGCTGGATCAGAAGTGGAGCAACTGGGTCTCAAACTGGTGCCCACATGGGATATCAGCACTTCAGGCCAGGGTGTTAACTCACTGTGCCACAGCACCAGCCCCATCACCATCTTTTAGCATTTACTTATTTACATATTTGAGAGTCAGAGAGACAGAATGAGTGATAAAGACAAACTGAAACAGAGGTTTGCCAGCTATTGGCTCACTCCTCAAATGTTTCCAACAAATTATAATTTTCTTATTTATTTGAGAGGCACAGAGGAAAAAAAATAAAGAGACTAAGAAAGATAGAGTTCACATTTATTGATTCAGTCCTGAGAAAGTTCTATGCCTGGGTACAATCATGAGTGGTAACTCAATCTGAGCAATGAGTTAGAAATAAGTTTCTGGGGGCTGGCATTGTGGCATAGCAGGTAAAGCCACCACCTGCAGTGCCAACATCACTTATAGGCACCAGTTTAAGTCCTAGCTGCTCCACTTCTGATCCAGCACTCTGCTACGGCCTGGGAAAGCAGTAGAAGATGGCCCAAGTGCTTGGACCCCTTTACCCATGAGGGAGACCTGAAGAAGCTCCTGGATCCTAGCTTCATATCAGTACAGCTCCAGCCATGACAGCCAATTGGGAAGTGAACCAGAGGATAGAAAACCTTTCTCTCTCTCTTTCTCTCTCTGCCTCTCCTTCTCTGACTTTCAAATTAATAAATAAATATTACAAAACCAAACATTAATCTTAAAAAAAAAGTTTCTGTACATTGCCTAATTAACAAGCACTGAAGGAACTAATAAGTGCATGAAGTAAAAAGTATGAAAGTGTAGAGAAGGACAAGTTAGAATTTGGGGAATGTATCAAACCTAGATAAAAGCCTTAGTAATAGCAGAAAATGACTGGATTTTTTTAAATCAAAGAACATCTTCACTAAGAACAGAAGTTAGAAAGATACTGGTATCTCTAAATACAGTAGAACGCCTGTGTCTGATGCAGAAAACCAGCTGCCATCAGGAGTAAGGCTTGAGAAAAATTCATGGAAAGAGCAGCAGTCAACATCTGCACTCTTTCTGCCTTGGCCTCCTGTATCTTATGTGCAGACTGACCTGAAAGGCTCTGATTCAGGCATTCTTCCACCATCCATGGCTCTGCTCCTCGCTCCAACTTGAAGATCAAGTCAGGTTTGGTAGTGCAGTGCCCTATTAAAGGAAACAATGTAAGATTTTGTGAAATAACTATCTTGGGTTATTTAAAGGACTACAGGTTGGTTCAGGAGCTATGCAACAAATGTTCCAATTTGAATCTTTTGTTAGATGGTAGATATTCAGATTATTCATGGACTCAAATTCTAATCCTGCCCAATATTAAACATTATAAAGTGTTCCCTAATTCTCAAATAGCAAGAAAATGTTATCACTGGGCATGTGATGGGTATTACTCACCCAAGGAGAAGAGCTTGCTGTAGGTCTCCAGCATCACAGGGTTTTCTGAGCATTGTTCATTTTCTGCCATTCCTCCCACATAAAGTACACAGCCAGGTCTTCAAATGCTATCATTACCTGTAACATTACACTTTCAGTCAACATATTAACTCTGTCACAAAACAAACACTGACAATTATGTATGGATATGAAGGAAAAAAGGAAGGATATGGTTTCACATTAGACTTGTTGAGTGTTTAGAAAGCCATGCAGAGCATTCAACAAAGTCAAACCCATGATCTACAGGCTGTGAGAAATGCCCAAGCTGGAGGGAAACAGGAAGTTCAAATAACAAAGGCCACATCTGTCAAGGGGGAATTGCACAGCAGGCTAAAAGAGGGGCAATACTGACTCTTGAATGGGCAATGTTAAGGAGAAGTATGTAGAAGCATTGAGAAAAAAAGGCAAGAAACCATCAGTGAAACTATGATGGGAATGGACAGAAAATAATTTCCAGAAAAATACCATGCATATCATTTCCAATATGTCAGAGAAAAAATATATTAAAAAGCAGGGCAGACATTTAGCTTAGTGTTTATGATGCCACCTCAGAGTGTCTATGATTTCCAATGCCAGCTTCAGTTTTTAGCTCCCAGATAATGCAGACCTGGGGAAGCAATGGTGATGTCACCAATGAAGGAGGCCTAGATTTAATTCCTCAATTCTGACTTCAGTCCTGCCCCAACTCTGTTTGGTATGGTTATTTAGGAAGTGAATTAATGTGTCAAAGCTCTCTATTTCTCAGTCCATCAACTTCTTTCTCTATCAAGCTAATAATATTTTTAAGTAAGAGAGGAAATATAGGTAAGACAAAGAATACAAATTAGTTTTTGCCCTTGTCTATGATTATTCTACTGATAACCAATTGGTAAGACAAAGAATACAAATTAGTTTTTGCCCTTGTCTATGATTATTCTACTGATAACCAATTGAAATAACATTTCCAAAGTACGAATAAAGCAATGGAATTTCTTTCCCAAAAAGAGAACCTGGAAATGTCTGCAGTACAATCTGCATTTGTGACTCACTGTGAAACATGCTTAGAGATTTGTTTAAGAACCTGCAATAGTCACCAGAATTGTGATGCCGAAGGCTAAGCCTCCATCATCAATGCTGGCATCCCATGTAAACAGAGGATTTGAGTCCTGGCTGCTCCACTTAAAATCCAGTTCCCTGCTAATGTGACTGAAAGAGCAGTGAAAATGGCCTGAGTATTTGGACCCTTCTGCCAATATGGGAGACCTAGATGGAGTTCCAGGCTGCTGGCTTTGGCCTGGCCCAGTCCCAGCCATTGTGGGCATTTGGGGAATGAAACAGTAGATAGAAGATATCACCTTTTGTCTCCCTATCTGTCCCAATCTCTGTAAGTCTCACTTTCAAATAAATAATCTTAAAAAAACAAATGAGCCTCTAGTAAAATCTTTACCCCACACATTCCTTATCCTATTCCTGAATCCAATTCAGCTTCTCAAAGGTATTAAGGAATCCATTACTCTAAAAATTCAAAAACAAACTTAACTGATTTGTGTTTTAACACTCAGTAACTTCCTCTTGCAGAATGCTAAGTGTTAACTTCATAGGTAGCACTAAAACACTGCTCAGTACATCATCTATATGACAATAAGGACTGTTTCAGACAACATGACCCAAAAATGTAGCTTATTGTGCTTAGTTTCAACTCAATTTGTGTAACAAATATATATTTTGCTATAGCAACAGAAAGACAAGAGACCAAACTGCATTATTATATATGACAGTAATGTTTCATAATCATACCAAATTTATATTCCATGACAACAAATTTTATGTTTATTTTTCTATTTAAAATTTTTTTAAAAATTTATTTCTTTATTTGAAAGTCAGAGTTACATAGAGAGAGTAGAGGCAGAGAGAGAGAAAGAGAGAGAGAGAGAGAGAGAGAGAGAGGTCTTCATCTGCTGGTTCAGTCCCCAATTGGCTGCAATGGCTAGAGCTGCACCAATCTGACTTCTGGGTCTCCCACATGGGTGATGGGGCACAAGGACCTGGGCCATCTTCCACTGCTTTCTCAGGCCATAGTAGAGAGCTGGAGCAGAAGTGGAGCAGCTGGGTCTCAAACTGGTGACCATTTGGGATGCTGATGCTTTAGACCAGGGTGTTAACCCACTGAGCCACACAGCCGGCCCCATATTTTTCCATTTTAGTTAACTAGCATACTGGGACTGGCATATTGGTGCCAGTTCAAGTCCCAGTGGCTTTGCTTCCAATCCAGCTCTCTGCTATGGCCAGGGAAATCAGTAGAAGATGGCCTAAGTCCTTGGGACCCTGCACCCATGTGGAAGACCTGGAAGAAGCTCTTCACTTCTAGTTTTGGATCAGTGCAACTCTGGCCATTGTGGCAAACTGCGGAGTGAACCAGTGGATGGAAAACTCTCTCTCTCCCTCTGCCTCTCTGTAACTCTGACTTTCAAATACATAAAAAAATCTAAAAAAAAATAAACTAGGATTAAACACCTAAAATGAGTACTGACAAGCTGGGGAATAAGTTAAAAAAAAAACACTTAGAGGTGATATATTAATTTTCTTTCCTCTTAGAAACATGTGGAGGACCCAGAATCATACCTGGGAGAGAAGGTGAATGGAAGGAGTTCAAAGAAAACGCTGGAGGCCAACACTGTGGCATAATGGGAAAGCTGCTGCCTGCAGTGCCAGCATTCCATATGGGGGCTGGTTCAAGTCCTGCCTGCTCAATATACAATCTAGCTTTCTGCTATGTCCTGAGAAAGCAGTGGAACATGGTCCAAGTCCTTGGGCCACTGCATCTGCATGGGAAATGCAGAAGCTCTTGGGTCTTGGCTTTGGATCAGCTCAGCTCCAGCCTTTGCAGTAATTTGGAGGATGAGCCAGCAGATAGAAGACTCTCTCTCTCTCTCTGCAACTTTTTCAATAATAAATGAAATCTTAAAATAAAACCTCTGGTTTCCTTCTGCACTGAACAGTGGGAAAAATAATATGATAAAATGAATAAAGAATAATAAATATATTAACCAAGAAAACATCAGCTTCAGTGTGGAGGAATAAACCTGTAAAAATGGAAGTATATAGGAAAATGCATCCACCTATATTAAGTGGCAGAGATTAAACAGAAGTTATCATTGGTTTAACGAAAGCATTATCTACAAATTTTTCAAAATAATAATGTAAAAGTAAAAAGAAATGTTCAGAGTGTTCAAATAAATGAGGTTATCAGAGATAAACATTATGCTGTTATTAATTTTATACTAAAGAAAATGAACAAATATACATAATGTATATTTAATGCAGTACACTTTACCAGTAATGATTCCAAGTAGCACCTTTCCCTGTATTCATCCCTTCACAAAACCCTGGATTGGGGATGGCATTGTGGCCTACCGGGTAAAGCTGCTGCCTGCAGACTGGCATCCCATATGGACACTGGATTGATTCCCAGCTTCTCCACTTCTGATCCAGCTTTCTGCTATGGCCTGGGAAAGCAGTAGAAGATGGCCCAAGTTTTTGGGCCCCTGCACCCATGTGGGAGACCCAGAAGAAGCTCCTGGATCCTGGCTTTGGATTGGCACAACTTTGTCCATTGCAGCCAACTGGGAAGTGAACCAGTGGATGGAAGGCCTCTCTCTCTCTGCCTCACCCTCTCTCTGTGTGTAACTCTTTCAAATAAATAAATATTTTTTTTTTAAAAAGACCCTGAATTTTACCATTTCACTTGATTTACCCCATGAGATACCAGTAAATGTGATAGAAATAGACAATTTGTTAAAAGATTTATTTATTTGAAAGAGTTACACAGAGAGAGAAGGAGAGGCAGAGAAACAAAGAGAGAGACAGAGAGAGAGAGAGGGAGGGAGAGAGGGAAGAGGGAGGGAAAAAGAGAGGTCTTCAAACCACAGGTTCACTCCCCAGATGGCTGCAATGACTGGAGCTTTGTAGATCCAAAGATAGGAGCCACAAGTTTCTTCCAGGTCTCCCACATGGGAACAGGGGCAAAAGGACTTGGGCCATATTCTACAGCAAAGAGCTGGATCAGAAGTGGAGCAGCCATGTCTCGAACTGACACCCATATACGATGCTGGCACTGCAGGTGGTGGTTTTACCTGCTATGCCACAGAATCAGCCCCAGAAATAGACAATTTGTAAAGTATTTGCCTTCTCAGATTTTCTTTTTCTGACAGTTATGTTCTGAAAAACCCTGGGGCCTGCCTATTGAAGAGATAGTATGCAGGCTGGTGCTGCAGCTCACTAGGCTTATCCTCCACCTGAAGCACCGGTACTCTGGGTTCCAGTCCTGGTTGGGGTGCTGGTTCTGTTCCAGTTGCTCCTCTTCCAGTTCAGCTCTCTGCTGTGGCCCAGGAAGGCAGTGGAAGATGGCATAAGTGCTTGGGCCCTGCAGCCACATGGGAGACCAGGAGGAAGCACCTGGCTCCTGGCTTTGGATTAGCGCAGTGTGCCGGCCATAGTGGCCATTTGTGGGGTGAACCAAAGGAAGAAAGACCTTTCTCTCTGTCTCTCTCTCTCACTAACTCTATCTGTCAAAAAAAAAAAAAAAAAAGAGAGAGATAATATGTAGCCAAGATTCACCAGAAACCCCAGACACTTAAGTGAAGCCTCAATCAGTTCCCCAAATGACTAAACTCTCATTTCTGCTCCTGAACTGATCATAGGAACTGCCCAGCTGAGTGCAGCCCATAACATGGAGTTAGAACTGCAAATCAGGGCCAGCACTGTGGCTCAATATGCTAATCCTCCGCCTACGGCTCCAGCACCCCAGGTTCTAGTCCTCGTCGCAGTGCTGGATTCTGTCCCAATTGCACCTCTTCCAGTTCAGCTCTCTGCTTTGGCCCGGGAGTGGAGTGGAGGATGGCCCAAGTCCTTGGGCCCTGCACCCACATGGGAGACTGGGAGAAGCACCTGGCTCCTGGCTTCAGATCAGTGCAGTGCACTGGCCGCAGCAGCCATTGGGGGGTGAACCAACAGAAAAGGAAGATCTTTCTCTGTCTATCTCACTGTCCACTCTGCCTGTCAATAAATAAATAAATAAAATAAAAAAACTGTAAATCAAATGGCTATTTGTTAAGCCATTGTGTTTT